AAGATTGAACTGAGAGCCTCACATGTGCTAGGGAAATGCTACCACTGAGCCATATCCTTATCATACCCTTATCTTAAAGGTCCTACTCTTAACACTGTTAGAATAGCAACTGAAATTCAATATGAGCTTGGGAAGGCACAGATAATTCAAGCCACAGCACCATCTGTCTCAACCCTTGTGGCAGGTGTGGTCATTTGGCCTTAGAAGCTCAGTGTTGATGTCCTCTCCTTCAGAAGATTTGCCTTGGTACCTCATGAGAATCCCTTTTTCTATGTCCCCATAGAACTCTCTGTACCTTTGTACATGCTGCGCCCTGTTTGAGATATTTCTTCCTTTTTTCTCTCTCATAAATCCTAATCACTAGCCAAAGTTCAATGCAAGGGCACCCCTGTGAAACGTCCCTGCTCCTAAATTCCAAGCAGAGATCAACACTCCTACCTTTGCACCCTGGGTATCTCCCAACACATCCCCAATCACATTGTGCTGATAAGTTTTGACAGTTTTTCCTCATTAGACCACGAGCCTGTGGGGAGCACAGACCATGTGCCACTTTTTCCTGCATAGTGGAAAGTGGATGGAGCATGTTTGCTGAATTGAATTTAACATACTAATAAGAGAGGAAATGAAGAAAAATCGATGGGGACTTTTGGAACACTATACTAATATCTACAACATGTTCCACTACTGATCAGTCATAGCAATCTTTTTCGGCAAGCTTTGATGTGGCTCAGAATTTGTCACAACCCAGGGCTCTGGGCAATCACTAGCACTAGAGCTTGAAAACAAGATGATTCTATTTGCCAACTCTAAGTGGCACTAGTATTGGACTCAGGTTATAGTGATTTCAAGTTAAATAAGGCTACTTCAGACTTCTCACATTTTATTATCCAAAGGGCTATCCACCCCATAAGTGCTTAGGACTGATTCTGGTCAGTGTTATGAAGTACATGCCATTTACCCTGACCCACTCAAGAAGCAGAGCGGGGCTTGGGATATAACTCAGTGGTAGAGACTCCACTGAGGAGGAAACAAGGCCCTGGGTTTGATCCCCGGCACCACAAATGGAGGAGGAGGAGGAGAGGAAGAGGAAGAGGAAGAGGAAGAGGAAGAGGAAGAGGAAGAGGAAAAGGAAGAAGGAGAAGGAGAAGAAGAAGGGGAGGGGAAGGGGGATAGGAAGGGGGAAAGGGAGAGGAGAACAAGTCACTGAGAGGAAGACATTATGGTCCCTGATCACTCTTAAGTCTAATTATAAAAACATACATTAGTAGGACAAGCAGATCAATCATCTGACATATACCATGGAGTCAGGTCAAGCATGCATATTTTACATTATCTGCTTCATATTTGATCCTATTTAACATTATAACCAATTTATACTGTTATTGCCCCATTTTTGTGATGAGGAAACTGAAGTACAGGGAGGTATATTTTCCAGTATTGTACCCATTATAAAGAGGCAGAATCAGGATTTGATATCAGGTCCTTCAACTCTCCAGGGTGTTGCTGCCATGTGGAGTATTTATCAGTTGCTTCATCTTGATCCAGAGCCTACAAAAGATCCCACCATTTCTTAGGGCATATTCCTTCCCCGGAGGAAATCACAGTCTTAGAACACAATTCAGGCTAGTACTCAGCAAAGCAGGATAGAGAAGCTGGGATGGGGAACTCCAATGGCTGAGAGCAGAAGGAACCCCACCCGATCCCAGGGCCTCTGGAAAGCCCCTACTGATTCTCTGTGATCCACGCAAGGCTTCTCCTCTGACATGCTTCTCCAGTCTTCATTCCTTGCACTTCTCAAGCTATGCACTGACTCCAGCTGATGCTCACATATCTTTCCCTTGGGATTTAGAGTGAGAAGGGATCCATTATGGAGTATAGGGGCCCTTGGGTTGGGAAAGTCAAGGTACCTGAGTGCGCAGGTCTTGGTTGTCAGGGTGAGGGGATAAAATGGGTCCTTAAGGACTGAAAAGGTTACTATAGGCCCTGGAGGATCACAAGCCACAGAAGACTCATTAAGAAGCTACCTGATCTGTCTTCCCTGAAGACCAGGAGCACAATGCTAAAGGAAGACCCAGAAGGCCTCAGGCTCATCCTCCACCCAGAGCCCAGCACCAGGTAAGGAGGAGAGGGGCAGAGGCAGAGGCTTGAGATACGTCATCCTCAAAACTGGACCTTGCCTGCCTGATGCTCCCTACCTGTCTGCATCCCTCTCTCTGTCCGGTTGGACACCTGCCTGCTTCTCCCTCCTTTCCATTCACATCTGACCCTCTTCATAGGTGTGATCAAAAACCACTATGAATGTTTAGTTTTTTAATTTTACAACAGTAGAAAATGCATTGCCATTAATACCCTTCAAAATACTTCCCCTTCCTCTGAACACACTTATCCCATCTTTCTTGCCACTTTCTAAAGTAGTTCTGAAGTCCTGTTTCATGAGGCTCTTTAGTTGTGCAGTCATGGCTGCCTCAGTATCCTGATGGATTCAATACATTTATGTTTCACGTTCATTTTGACCTTGAGGAAAAGCCAGAAGTCACACGGTGCCAGATCCAGTGAATAAGGTGGATGAGAATACACCATACTGTTTTCACAGGCCTGCCTTTTCATCGGATGGCACTTGGCAGCAGCATTCACTATATTGCTGACCACGCCTCATAAAGATACTCACAAAAGAGGACTTGCAGAACCGCTTCGGAAAGTAGCAAGAATGATGAGATAAGTGGTTGAATGCTTCCATACTGAATGGAAGTATTTTGAGAGAGTTTAATGGCAAGGTGTCTTTTACTGTAATAATTTTCACATTTAAACACTGTATATGTTGATCATACTGCCTAAGTTGGTTATATTAAGATAAAACCTGCCTTCTTGGTGTAAGTCTCAACTTTATCTCTTGGGACCACCCAGAATAAAACTCCCCTGTCATCCACATTAAATCACTCACTTGTGCTTTCACATGACTTGCAAAGAGTTGGTCCTTCCCTTCCAAATGCGCATCACCTTCCAGTTCAGTAGGAGAAACCTCCCTATTTGCTTCAGCTCTTCCTCACGCAATGTGATTTCCAGACATTTTGTCCTGGCCTCTTTCAACTTATCCACATTCCCCTTAAAATACAGCCCAGGAGTGAGAATAACGCTCTGCCTGTGGCCTGGCTGCGGCAGCTACAGTTCTATGCCCCCATACCCACCCACCCACTGTTAGGACCTTTCTCAGTGATGGAGCCTCTTGTTTACTTTTTTCAGGTTCTTTGCATTGATCAGTTTCAGTCCCCAGTACTTTCCCAACAAGCTGCCGCCCTGTCTGAGCTTGGTGTGGTTTGCTTTTTGAGACAGGGGAAGGGACAGGAGATTCCACATTCATGCTGTAACATTTTTTTGTTGCTTTATCTGGAACATCTTGTTCTATCCAGTTGTGACTGGATATCTGCTTTTCAGCCACTGGGCCAGACTCCTTCATCATTGTGAATACAAACTGCTCTGAAGGAAAAACTCTGGAGATCAATTGGTCTGAGGGAATGTGACCTTGAGGGTTCTGGTGGTCACAGGTAACTGTATCTCTCTCACCTCATTCTCACCTCCTCCCCTTCCACGTCTACCCCGCTGGAGCCACCACTCGTGACCCACTCTTCTGCTGCCATTGTTAGCTGCTTCCGAGGAGGCCCTCTCTGTCGCCCGTCTCTCCCTCTTGGGTCTCTCCCTGCTCTGTGTGTACATTCTCAACTTTTCTCAACATTGGGGGACAGAAACCACTCCCTCCATCCTATTTCTTGATCTAAACATCTCCCCCTTTCACTCCTCTTGATGGCCCAGTCCACTGCTCAGAATCCACTACAGTCTGACTGCTGCCTTCATCACAGAAATGTCTCACACCTGAGTCACTTATAACTTCAGCATTATCACATTTTGACCTTTGGCCCCTCTTTCCTCTTTGTATTTGATTCCACTGGCACTCTGCCTCCCTGGGTTTGTACGCAAAGCCCTGTTACCTCCCTGGATGCTTTTTCTCAAGCTTGACTCTTCTCTACTGGTGGGAACTAGGACTACCGGGCTACCCGTCCAGTGATCATGGTGCCAGTCTCCTCGTGCAGATCAGATATTACTTCTGATAGGATATTGCCTGGTTCCCCACGAGAACATGTCACCTCCAATAGCACCAGACACAAGAGAATTGGCCTTAAATGAGGCACAATATTTATCCTCTGCTCTCTGCCCATCATAAATCTCAAGAAGAGAAAGGGACCCTATGGAGTTAATTATTCAGAGAGATTTTCCCTCCAGGCTGAGAGGCTTCAGAAAATCCAAAGGTTCCTTTGAGCAGAGACAACAGCTATTATTCTGCCTTATGTACAGTCAAATTTTAGTCAAACAGGAAGACTCTTCCCTTCAGGAGTGGATAAGAATAAGAAGAGGCATAATTGCTGAGCAACTCTATTTAAAGTAAGATATGAGGCAACTTCCAAAAGAATCAAACACAGACCCAGGTTAGCTTTTTGAGAATTTTTCACGTTCATGGAAGCATACATCTCTCCCCACAATTGTTACTCTTCTTGTCTATTTCTCTACAGTGATCAAAAGTTGAAGGCACCAAAAGAAAGGGTTCTGAATACATGTTTCGATGAAGAGGGAGGAGACAGTTTCAGATCTTCATCCTTCTCTGCAGCCAGTGGCAGACAGAAAAGCCCCTGGCAGTGCACTACATGATGGTAGCTCCTGAATGAGAAGAAAGCAGGAGGTCTTTCTGGGGTTGGTGAAAGGGAAGGAAATGGAACCCTGGAGACCCTCAGAAAAGACTTCTGTCTGAGAAGCTAAATATCCCGTGAAGATTTTCCTCCCCTCCCCAAAATTACACTCACCCCAGGCAGACCTCAGTCTCTGATGTGATACTTATTCCAAGTAGAATCAAATAACCACTGACCTTTCCAACAATAGAACAGCCATGGCGCCTGAGTATGCATAATAAGCTGGACCCCTACAACCATTTCTCCCTCTGCAGCTGCAGAACAATGCACAACAGCTGGGGGTACAACAGCTCCGTGTCTGAGTTTATCCTTCTGGGCTTCTCCAGGAACTACCAAACTAATGTAATCCTCTTCAGTATCTTCCTCTTTCTCTACCTCTCCACACTGGTGGGCAATGGGCTCATTGTTACTTTGATCCAACTGGACTCCCACCTCCACACACCAATGTACTTCTTCCTTTGTGTCCTTTCCATGCTGGACATGAGCTATGTCACCACCACCGTGCCCCAGATGTTGGTGCATCTGATCTGCCAGAAGAAAACTATCTCCTATGTTAGGTGTGTGGCCCAGATGTACATCTTTCTGGTGCTGGGGATCACCGAGGGCTGGTTATTTTCTGTTATGGCCTATGATAGATATGTGGCCATTTGCTATCCACTCAGGTACAAGGTTATCATGAACCCATGGCTGTGCAAAGCAATGGTAGTCTTTTGTGGACTATGGGGTGTCAGCTGTTCCTTAGTCTATACTGTCTTCACCATGCGCCTACCCTACTGTGGCCCCAATGAGGTCAATCACTTCTTTTGTGAGGTCCCTGCTGTTCTGAAATTAGCCTGTGCAGACACATCCCTCAATGATCGAGTAGATTTCATACTTGGCTTCATTCTTCTACTGGTACCACTTTCCTTCATCCTGGCCTCTTATGTCTGCATTTTCACCACCATCTTGAAAATTCGCTCAACCCAAGGTCGACTCAAGGCCTTCTCTACCTGTGCATCCCACATCACTGTGGTCACCATGTTCTGTGGACCTGCCATGTTTATGTACATGAACCCTGGGGCCAATGCCTCCCCAGAGAGGGACAAGAAGCTGGCTCTGTTCTACAACGTGATCTCAGCCTTTCTCAACCCCATAATCTATAGCCTCAGAAACAAAGATGTGAAGAGGGCTTTCCTCAAAGTGACAGGCTGGGGCAAATGCCCTGAGTGAAGCCACTGGAACACAGGATCTGCGGCCCTTCTCCTCCATTCTCTCTAATCACAAACAAGTGCACAGGCAAGAATGATTATCTAATGGTTAAAGGAGAAGGTATACAAGGGTAGGTACCTGATGTGGACCTGCTGATGACTCGAGAAGCTGAGCTTTCCCTAAACATCAAGGAACCCTCTGGACAGAGTACCAAGAATTTATGTCAGATTAACTTTTGCTTCCCAGAAACAAGCAAAGGGTCTAGCACAAACAAAGCATCATTAATATTTCATGATTGAATGATTCAGTGGATGGGAAGAGGGCATTTGAAACCAATTCAGGATAAATGGGACAAAAATGACTCAGAGGACCACAGATCAGTAACTTTCTTTTGTCTTGGTCAGCAGCAACCAAGCATGGGTTTAAAGAAACCTAATCTCAGCAAAAGGAAGCATGGCCTTAGGGATAGGTTTCAGGGGTTGAGCATTGTCCATCCAACATTTCCAGGGGAATGCAGGGGACTGATTCACCTGCTCTCTGGAGAAGGAGTTCCTGCTATGCGGTCTCTCGGCACACAGATGGTACACCACTCAAACTGTGTCACAAAGATTAAGAGCTCATACTCTGTAGCCAGACCTTTTCCTTGGCTATGAAGGTGGGATACTATATCTATAAAGGTGGAATAATAATTATAGCAAACCAATACCTTGTAGGATTGTTATGACAAGGTAACATGAGTTCTTAGAACAATGCTGGGCACTTTGAGTGCTATCTATAAACATTGCCATTCCACTTCTCTTTCTTAATACCACACTTTACAAGCAGAGGCGTAGTAGCAGGGGACACTCTGCCCTTGAGAAAAAGACTGCTAGCATTACAAACAAAGAAGCCTGCACTTGTTTATATGCCAATGTGCTATGAATTTAGGTAGCTTGGGTATGTCACCATGAAGCTCATGAACTCACAATCCGAAAAACCATAAATAAGGAGGAGAGCCTTTCAAGATTCTACATGAGCAGTCCTTGATTACAATCAGCTAGCACCCCTCCAGGGTGTCCTCATTAATAGTCTACATATTAGAGCTTTGAATAAACATTTGTTCCAATCTGAGCTGATTAATATTTGTTTTGTGGGAGTGCTTTATTTAAGAGGTTGCTGGGTGAGTGGGAGGGTGGTAGGATGTGATGGTCATGATGGCTTCTCTTAGCAAAGCCAAAGCCATTCACCCCTATTATGGTTTGGTTCTGGATGTCCCCCCAAAGCCTCATGCAGTCATGGGGCAGGCTTCTAGAGTTTGTGATTGATTCATGGATGTGAGTGCTACACCTGCCCTGGGGCGGATAGTTTGCATACAGTGTAAGGGAGGGAAAGAGGCTGCTTGCTTCGCTCCTCCCTTTTTGAGCTTTTGCTTTTCCTGTCTTCTGCCGCCATGAACTGTTGCCCTCTGCCATGTGCCACTCTGTCTTGGAGCCAACCAAATATGGACTGAAACCTCCACAAACTGTAAGCTAAATAGACTTTTCCTTCCTTAATTTTGGGCATCAGGTATTTTGTCTCAGCAATGAGAGAAAAGTAACCAAGACAACCCCTTAAAATGAGTGGCCCTTAGAGTCCCTGGCACCTTGGAGGAAGCATAGATAACTTGTTTCATAGAATCTCAGGAAGCTGCATGGACAGATAAAGTCTATCAGACCCATAAAGTTAGGCAACACATAAAAGAAG